TGCAAAATTTGAGGTCAATCCGGGTTGTTAAGGCTTGTTCGGCGTAAGTTTTGAATTCGAAAATTTGGTTTAGTTCCTTAGGCTTGAATTGAGGTGCTATTCGTGGCTTTAGTGTTGTTTTGTGTGATTTGAGGCCACAAGTTAGTCCGTGTTATGTTTTGGTACTGGTTGGTGTGATTGGACGGGGCCTCGGGTGTGTTTCAGATAGGTTTCAAACCATTTCACCATGTGTTGAATTGTTGTTTTTGATGTTTGGTTTTTCTTCATCGTGATCGCGACAAAGCAGTCGCATTCGTGGAGGGTATTTCTGATGGTAGGTGATTTTGTCCTTTGAGTTTGCGAAGGAGTGATATTGTTCGCGAAGCTTGGGGAGACAGTAGCATTCTGGATCAAGTTGAGCGGGACGAGTTCGCATAGAAAGAGAGGCTAGTTGGGCGTCAAGATTTTAGCCTTCGCGATCACGGGTGGAGGACTGCATTCGCGAAGCTCTGGAGTAGAGTGCATCGCGTTCGCAACCAGGGGTTTGCGTTCGCGAACTTAGTCCCGCGATTGTGAAGGGTATGCCTAGGTGGACCATAAGTGCTCTATTTTCGAGGGTTTTAGTCATTTTAACATATTTTTAGTTATAGAGCTCAGATTTGGGTGATTTTGGAGGGGATTTTCCCGATTTGGATTGGGGTAAGTGTTTTTCACTCGGATTTGTTCATTGTCTGTGATTCCAACCTTGATTTTTCCATTTCAGTGAATCTTAGAGAAGAAATTGGAGGTTATAGTAAAAACTTTTCTAAAGTATAAATTGATAATTTGAGGGTCGATTTGATGTCGGATTTGGATGAAACACATATATTTGAACTCGTATCAAAATGGGTGTTCAGAATTTGTGAGTTTTAACGATATTAAGTTATTTTGGCTAGATTCGAGTCGTCCGAAGGTTGATTCACGCGGAAAGGGATTATTAGTGGATTGCTTTAGCTTGCTTGAGGTAAGTATCTTACATAAACTTGGTTGAGACACTAGTTGCCTGAATTGTTTATGATAGCTACGTGCTATGCGTGGTGCATATGTGTGGGGTTGAGTTCATGTGCATGGACCGGGGTATTATGTACGCTCGGGGTAATGCTTAAGTTATGTCTTGATTTGATTGCTAAGATTTATGTTGTGATATTTCTTATATTTGTAACCATGTTGTGAGCTATTTTGAATCATGTTTGAGGTTACATAGAGGTTAATGTCCTAATTGAACTTGATAATTGCTACTTCGTGATGCAATTGCATGATTTGAGCTATGATAGCACACTTTGCACATGCATACACCTCAACATGTCACTTATACCAGTCCTAGAGTATGAAATTTGTTATTCATTGATCATATACATATATTCTTGTATATTTTCTTTGTGTGTGATATGGTTTGGACTGGTAGCATATGACCATGCCGGGCGGATTATGATATTGAGCTTGTGACCACGCCTGGCAGATTGTGATATTGAGCATGTGACCACACTGCGCAGATTGTGATATTGAGCCTTTGACCACGCCGGGCGGATTATACGTGACTACATCCCCCTAGGGTCACCCTCTCATGTTTCTTCTTGATGGTGTACACGCGGATTTGAGGAAAAATGATCAGTGTTTTGGTTCGGTTATTGAGATTCTGATGAAAATGTGGCCAGTGTTTGATTTGGTTATTGCATTTCATCTTTACTTACAATTTCCTTTGTCGTTTACCTGATTTATTTTCATATCTTCTTTATATGTTGGATTGTTGACGGAGCAGAGTACGTTAAGTAATTGTGTGCACCAATGTGGTTCTTTCTGTGATTTGTGAATTGATCATATTATTGTTCTGTACTTGTTGGATTTATGAACTGTATATATTATTAGCGAGTATCATTTATAATTCTTGCTTCTATTTCCTCGCCAAGGCTAGTTATGATACTTGTTGAATACATGGGGTCGGATGAAATCATACTACACTCTGCATTTAATTGTGCAAATCCAGGTGTTGGACCAAGCCACCAGTAGCTGAGGCTTATTGTTGAGTTTGTTATCCGAGAGACGAGGTAGAGATACATCCCGATGGTAGTCTTGGCGTCTCTTTTCATATAATATTGTTGTCTTTCATTTTGGCAGTATTGTTATTTGGTATTTCAGACTTGTATTTTCATTTTAGAGCTCATTACTCTATATTTACATGTTCTGGGGGGATTTGTTGCGTAGCTACATTGTTGTTTATGTTAAATGGCCTTAGACTCGTACTATTTCTATTTTTTCTGTATTTATATTTCGATTTTGTTATATTTGGCTTGCCTAGAAAGTGAGTTAGGCGCCATCACGACCGGTTGGTGGTTTTGGCTCATGAAAAGTTGGTGTCACAGCCCAAAGTTCATAGGTTCTACGGGTCATGAGCAAGTTTAGTAGAGCCTTGCGGATCGGAATGGAGACATCTGTACATATCTTCCAGAGGCTACCGAACTGTTAGGAAACATCACTTTTTTGCATTCTTGTCTTGCGGATTTGTTATTTTTGAAATTTGAAGCTTTACTCTTCTATTCTCTAACAGATAGTAAAGACGCGTTCAACCGGATCAGGCAGGCAGGCACTAGTACCACCAGGCAGGGTCACTAGGCCGGGGCCAAGGTAAAGGCCGAGGTGGGGCTCGTCTAGTGCTAGGGCAGCACTTCTGGAGCCACTAATTGCTCCAGTGGAGAAGTAGGTTCCGGATACTATTGAGCCGGTGGGACCAGCTTAAACACTGGCAGTACCTATTGTTATACCTGGTCTTCAAGAGGCTTTGGCTCAGATCTTGAGCGTGTTCACGAGCTTCGCTAAGGCGGGTTTGGTACCAGTTTCAACCACTACCTCACATGTTGGGGGAGGAGCCTAGACTCCCATTGGCCGTACACCGGAGCAGCTAGCTCAGGGTTATCAGACACCAGGGGTGCTACCGGTACAGCTATTTGTTGCTACTCTAGCCGATGTTGGTCCATCTATGACTGATGAGGAACAAAAATGGTCGGAGCGATTTAAGAGGCTTGACCCTCTCAAGTTTAGTAGAGGAGAGTCAGAGGATGCTCAAAGTTTTATGGATCGGTGTCATCGAATTTTTTGCACAACGAATATTGTGGACATCAGTGGAGTTGCATTTACTACTTGTTAGCTGATAGGGGCAGCCTACAAGTGGTGGCAGACTTATGAGTTAGGCAGTCCAGCTCGCGCAGCACCACTTATATAGCATGAGTTCTCAGTTCTCTTCGTAGAGAAGTTTGTCCCCCAGATTTGCAGAGAGGAGCTGTGTAGGAATTTGAGTAGCTACGTCAGGAGGGTATGATTGTGACCCAGTACGAGATGAGGTTCATAGATTTGGAATGTCATGTAGTATGGTTGGTTTGCACTGAGAGGGAGAGTATCAAGAGGTTCATTGATGGCCTCAACTATGGTTTACGTTACAGTTTGGCTCGAGAGGCCGAGACGGATGCTAGGTTTGACTAGGTGGTTGAGATTGCTAAACGTTTAGAGCAGGTTCGCAGGATTTAGCATGAGGAGCGGGAGACCAAGAGGCCTTGTGGTTCAAGTGGTTTTAGCGTTTTCTCATCTAGAGGCTAGTCTTATCACAGTAGAGGTCATCCTTTTAGGCCCACTCAGGCAGCTTGTCAGATTCCTCGTAGTGCATCAGTTAGCCACAGTTCATACAGTGCTCTCCCAATTCAGTCATCATTTAGTGTGCTGTCGGCGTAGAGTTCTTATCGTGCTTCATTTGCTCAGGGTTCCACAGGCGGTTATTCTTGTTATCAAGGTTAGGAGCCTCATAGGAGGGGTTGTTATGAGTGTGGAGACTTGAGTCATCTCAAGAGGGATTACCCCAGACTTCTAAGTAGGGTTCCATAGTAGATCTCACAGCCTACGATTTCAGAACCACCAGCTACACCACCCGCCAACTAGCTAGGGGTGGGACTCAGTCAGTTTGAGGTCGCCCTAGAGGGGGGGTCGATTAAGCGGTGCTCAGGCCGTTGCTATGCAATTCCCGCCAGGCCAAAGGCAGTTGCTTCTAGCGTCGTGATCATAGTTATTGTCTCAGTATGCCACAAGGATGCTTTAGTGTTATTTGACCCAGGTTCCATGTACTCTTATGTGTCATCCTATTTTGCTTGTTATATGGATATGCCTCATGAATCTTTAGATGTGCTTGTTCATGTGTCAACACTGATGGGTGATTCTATTATGGTGGATCGTGTATATTGGTCATGTGTGGTCACCATTGGGGGTTATAAGACTAGATTTGATCTTCTATTGCTTAGCATGGTCGATTTTGACGTCATTTTTGGCATGAATTGGTTATCACCATATCACATTATTCTTGATTGTCATGCTAAGATCATGACGTTGGTTATGTTGAGGTTGTCGAGGTTGGAGTGGAGAGGCTCCCTAGATCATGTTCCCAATAGAGTGATTTCATATTTAAAGGCTCAACAGATGGTTGGAAAGGGGTGTTTGGCGTATTTGGTCTTTGTGAGGGGTGTTAGTGTTGATAATCCTACTGTTGAGTCAGTTCTGGTAGTGAGCAAGTTCCCAAATATGGTTCCTGCAGACCTGTCATGCATGCTACCCAACAGAGATATTGATTTTGGTATTAACTTGGTACTGGGAACTCAGCCCATCTCTATTCCACCGTATCGCATGGCACCAATAGCGTTGAAGGAATAGTTACAAGAGTTGCTTGATAAGGGTTTCATCAAGCCTAGTATGTCACCTTGGGGTGCACCGCTGCTATTTGTGAAGAAGAAAGATGGTTCTATGAGGATGTGCATTGACTTGAACAAGGTTACTATCAAGAACAAGTACCCACAACCGCGTATTGATGATTTGTTTGATCAGCTTCAGGGTGCGAAAGTATTCTCGAAGATTGATTTGAGATCAGGGTATCATCAGTTGAAGATCCGAGCTTCAGATATTCTGAAGACGACTTTCAGGACCTACTATGATCATATGAGTTTCTGGTAATGTCTCTTGGTCTAACCAATGCCCCAGTAGCTTTTATGCACTTGATGAACAACGTATTTCAGCCCTATCTTGATTACTTTGTCAATGTTTTCATTGATGATATATTGGTGTATTCTTGCAGCTGGGAGGATCTTGAGCAGCACTTGAAGATCATGCTCCAGACTTTTAGGGAGAGGAAGCTATTTGCTGAATTCTCCAACTGTGACTTTTGGCTAGACTCGATGGCATTCTTGGGCGACGTAGTGTCCGGTGAGAGGATTAAAGTGGATCCGAAGAAAATTGAGACAATTTATAGTTGGCCCAGACCGTCTTCTACTACTAAGATCCGGACTTTCCTTGGGTTGGTAGGGTATTATCGATGTTTTGTGGAGGGGTTTTCATCTATAATGGCCCTATTGACTAGATTGACACAGAAGGGTGCCCCATTCAAGTGGTTTGATGAGTGTGGGGAGAACTTTGAGAAGATCAATACTGCTTTGACTACAGTTCCAGTCCTGGTCTTGCCTTCGGGATCGAGTTATTACATAGTCTAATGTGATGCTTCATAGATTGGCATTGAGTGTATGTTGATGCAAGAGAGTAGAGTGATTGCTTGTGCTTCATGTTAGTCGAAGCCCCATGAGAAGAGCTACCTAGTACACGATTTGGAGTTAGTATTCATTGTTCATGCGCTCAAGATTTTGAGGCATTATCTTTACGACGTGTCTTGTAAGGTGTTCATACGTCATAGGAGTCTCCAGCACTTATTCAAGCAAAAGGATCTGAACTTGAGGCAACGAAGGTGGTTAGAGATACTAAAGGATTATGATATTACCATTCTTTTTCCTCTGGGAAAGGACAATGTGATGGCGGATTCCTTGAGTAGGAAGGCTGAGAGCATGGGGAGTCTTGCTTATATTTAGTTAGGGAGAGATTGTTAGCATTGAATATTCAGGCTTTGGCCAATCAGTTCGTGAGGTTGGATATTTCGGAGTCCGGCAGAGTTCTCGCTTGTGTTGTATCACGGTCGTCTTGTTTGAGCGCATCAAGGCGCGTCAGTATGATGATTCCCACTTTTCTCCTAAGGGACACAATGTAGCACGGTGATGCCAAGGAGGTTACTATTGGTGATGATGGGGTATAGAGGCTACAGGGTCAGATGTGTGTTCCAAATGTGGATGGGTTGTGAGAGTTGATTCTCGATGAGTCCCATAGTACTTGGTACTCTATTCATTAGAGGGCCGCGAAGATGTACCATGCTTTGAGGCAGCACTATTGGTGGCAGAGGATGAAGAAAGATATTGTTGAGTATGTTTCTCGATGTTTGAACTGCCAGCGGGTGAAGTACAAGCATTAGAGGCCCGGTGGTTTGCTTGAAAGGCTTGATATTTCGAAGTGGAAGTGAGAGCGTATCACTATGGATTTTATAGTTGGGCTTCACCGACCCTGAGGAGATTCAATGCAGTGTGGGTCATGGTGGACAGGCTGACCAAGTCTGCACACATTCCAGTCATGACTACCTACTCTTCAAAGTAGCTAGCTCGAATTTATATTCGGGAGATTGTTTGCCTTCATGGTGTTCCCGTGTCTATTATCTCGGATCGAGGCATGCAATTTACCTCGCTTTTTAGAGAGTAGTGCAGCATGAGTTAGGCACACAGGTCGAGCTAAGTAAGACATTTCATCCCCATATGGATGGGCCGTCCGAGCGCACTATTGAGATTTTGGAGGACATGTTACGAGCCTGTGTCATTAATTTTGGAGGTTTATGGGATCAGTATCTACCATTAGCAGAGTTCGCCTACAACAACATCTATTAGCCAAGTATCTAGAAGGCTCCTTATGAGGCCTTATACGGGAGACAATGTCGTTCTCTGGTTGGTTGGTTAGAGCCTAGGGAGGCTAGGTTTTTAGGCACTGATTTGGTCTGTGATTCTTTGGAGAATGTGAAGTTGATTCAAGAATGGCTTTATACCATGCATCCCAGGCAGAAGAGTTATGTTGACAGGAAGGCTCGAGATGTTTCATATATTGGTGGGTGTGAAGGTTGTACTCAAAGTTTCTCCCATGAAGAGTGTGATGAGGTTTGGAAGGAAGGGAAAGTTGAGCCTTAGGTATATTGGTCCTTTTGAGGTGCTTGAGAGAGTTGGAGAAGTGGCCTACAGACTTACCTTTCCACCTAGTCTATCGGGTGTTCACCCAATATTTCATGTTTCTACGCTCAGGAACTATTATGGTGATCCATCACATGTTTTGGACTTCGACACGATGCAGTTGGATGAGGATTTGACTTATGACATAGAGCCAGTGGCCATTTTGGACCGGTAGGTACGAAAGTTGAGGTCGAAGAATATAGTATAGGTAAAGGTCACTGAAGAGGTTAGCCAGTTATGGAGGCTACTTGGGAGATCGAGCAGGAGATACGGAGTATATATCCTCACCTTATTTGGACTCTAGGTATGATTCTAGACTCGTTCGAGGACGAACGTTTGTTTAAAAAGGGGGGAATGTAATGACCCAGTCGGTCATTTTGAGTACTTTAGCCCCGTTTCCCTATTTTATGCTTTACTTTTGTGTATTTGTTGTTACGTGACTTGGCGGGTGGTTGGTTTGGTTTCAGGGAAGTTTTGGAGTGAATTGGGACACTTAGTCCCAAGGTTGGAAGCTTAAGTTGTAAGAATTGACCGAAGTTTGACTTTTGTATAGAAGACCCTGGAATGGAGTCTTGATGGTTCCAATAGCTTCGTATGGTGATTTTGGACTTAGGAGTATGACCAGATTTGGATTTGGAGGTTCTTAGGTCGTTTTGGCTTGAATTGGCGAAAGTTGAAAGGTTGAAGGCTTGGAACGTTGATAGGTTTGACCGAGAGTTAATTTTGATGGTATCGGTTTCTGATATTTGTTCCAGGATTTGGATAGGTCCTTTGTATCATTTGAGACTTGCATGCAAAATTTAAGGTCATTTCAAGTTGTTTAGTCTTGCTCGGCGTAAGTTTTGAATTTGAAAATTTGGTTTAGTTCCTTAGGCTTGAATTGAGGTGTGATTCGCGATTTTAATGTTGTTTTGTTTGATTTGAGGCCTCGAGTTAGTTCGTGTTATGTTTTGAGATTGGTTGGTGTGATTGGACGGGATCCCGGGGGCCTCAGGTGTATTTCAGATGGGTTTCACACCATTTCACTATGTGTTGAATTGTTGTTTCTGATGTTTGGTTTTTCTTCATCATGATCGCGACAAAGCAGTCGCGTTCATAGAGGTTATTTCTGATGGCAGTCGAGTTTGTTCTTTACGTTCGCAAAGGATTTATCGCGTTCGCGAAGCTTGGGGAGGCAGTGGCCATTGCGATTGCCTCGAGGGGGACGCGTTTGCGTAGAAGGAGAGGCTGGTTAGGGCATCAGGCTTTTAGCCTTCGCGATCCCGGGTGGAGGACTGTGTTCACGAGGCTCAGCAGTAGAGTGCATCGCGTTCGTGAACTGGGGCACACGTTCATGAAAGGCTTTTCTGAGGGAGTATTTGGTTGTTCTTCGCGATCGTGAAGTTGGTCCCACGATCGCGAAGGGTATGCCTAGGCGGACCATATGTACTCTATTTTCGAGGGTTTTAGTCATTTTAACATATATTGAGTTATAGAGCTCAGATTTGGGCTATTTTGGAGGGGATTTTCACGATTTGGATTAGGGTAAGTGTTTTTGACTCGGATTTTTTTATTGTCCATGATTCCAACTTTGATTTTTGCATTTAATTGGTAAATTTTAATGAAGAAATTGGAGATTTTAGTAAATACCTTTCTAAAGTATAAATTAATGATTGGAGGGTTGATTTAAGGTAAAATTTGGATTAAACACATATATTTGGACTTGTATCGGAATGGGTGTTCAGAATTTGTGAGTTTTGACGGATATCGGGGCGCAAGCCAAGGGTTGACTTTTTTATTTTCGATAAAGATCTTAGCTTTATTATTTGGAATTGTTTCATATGGCATTCATTGATGATATTAAGTTATTTTAGCTAGATTCGGGCCGTCCGATGTTGATTCACATCGGAAGGGCTTAATAAAGAATTGATTTATCTTGCTTGAGGTAAGTATCTTACCTAAACTTGATTAAGGAACTAGTTGCTTGAATTATTTATGATAGCTACGTGCTATGGGTGGCGCACATGTGTGGGGTTGAGCTCATGTGCGTGCACCAGGGTATTATTCATGCTCGGGGTAGTGCTTAAGCTATGATATGCCTTGAATTGATTGCTAAGCTTTATGATTCGTGATGTTTCTTATATTTGTAACCATCTTGTGAGCCATTTGAATCATGTTTGAGGTTAGATAGAGGTTAATCTCCTGATTGAACTTGATAATTGCTACTTGTAAGGCCCCGGAGAATTTTACTAAATAATTTAAGATTTCGTGGTGCCAGGTAGGCTAATTATAATATTTTATGTGCTATAATAATGATGTATATCAATTGGATATGGTAAATGAATGTATAAGTCATATAATAAGTAATTTGGGGTCCAAGAAAAGGCCTAAGTCTAAGTCAAATTGGAAAACTACATAATAGGCTAAAATTCCAAATGAATTCGCCCAAGTCCACACTTTGAACGAGCATATATATATATATATATATATATATATATATATATAAAAGGTTATATTTGACGAACAACCTATCAAATGAAAGATCTTCGAGTCTGATTTCTAACGCTTCAAATCGTTCATCATTTGGACATTCCTACACAAAGTTATGATCAAATTATCAAAGGCTGGATTTGCGATCAATTTCGCGATCGCAAAACGACTCCGCGGACCGCATACACATCGCATAGTGAAGCAGAGTCGGGCAAAATATTATGCTGTCACATGTTGATTATGCTGTCGCATAATTGATTTTGCTGTCGCATAATTGATTATGCTGTCGATTATCCTATCGCATAATGATTATGCTGCAAGTCTGCTGCCCACATATCGATTATGCTATAGCATAATTGCACCACATAATTGACTTCGGGGTCATTTTTGGAAATTTTCATATCCGAACCCACTTTGATAAATAAGATTTGGGGCTTCATTTGTAGCTATTTTATACTAAATCTAGAGAGAGGTGAGAGCATTTTAGAGAGAGAAAGAGGAAACCTAGCCTTCCAAATCACCAAATCTTGCTCAAGTCTTCAAGAATCAAGGAAGATAGCCACTAGATTGTCCTCTATCTGGGTAAGTCCTATTTCCAGAACTTGCATGTAAGAGGTTAAGGGTTCAAATATGTTGTGGGGATTAGAAATAGACCATGCATGTGGGACTAAGTTGTAGTATGTGATATTAATGAACTAATTTGGATAGTTCATGTTAAAATTGGTTGAGGGAAGAAGGAATTTCCATTTTTGGACCTTGTAGTCTATTTCACACGTTAGGTGTTTGATGCAATTCCTAAGAGAGTTACACCATGGGTAATCTTTCTAGTTGTTAATCGATTTTCGATTACTCCTCATAGATTGTTATTGCTAGAGGTGTTGGTGCATTGTAGTAACTTAAGGGAAGCTTAAACAAGGTATGTTGGCTAAACATTCTCTCTTAGAATCGAATTCCATAAATGCTTTCATAAGTTCAAGTATGGTTGGCTCAAAGTTCATAAATCTTATATTCCGGGTTATTACCCATAAACTTGACCATTCTAAAATGAGCCTTATGAATAAAGGTATATATATTCAAAGTATGAGTTGCGTATTAAAATGTGACGGCTTTGAGTCTTGTTTCAAATAGAGTCTAATATGCCAAATTGGGTGAGAAAACTCGATATTGTTGATACTCCTAATTGCTCTTATGTGCACAAGATGTATTGATTGATTGTGTCTAGTTGTTGGTAATCTATAAAGATGTTTGAAATGAATTAAATGAATTTGGGAAATAGAGTGTGGCCAACGTACCGAGAACTT